AGACATACAACTCAGCACAAAAGTCAGAATCATACAAACCATCATATTACCTGTGTAGTTATTACCATGTATGGATGTGAGAGCTGGACAGTCAAGAAAGAAGACAGGAGGAAAATCAACACATCTGAGCTAATGTGGTGCAGGAGAAGAGTGCTGAGGATACCATGGACAGCCAAAAGGACAAGCAAATGGGTCCTAGGGCAGATCAAGCCAGAGATATCCCTAGAAGCCAAGATGACAAGACTCAGACTGTTGTACTTTGGACACATCACAAGAAGGCATGAATCGGTGGAAAAGACAGGAATGTTAGGAAAGGTGGAAGAAGTAGAAAGAGAGGAAAGCCACATGCTAGATGGATGGACTTTATTAAAGAGACCATGAATATGAGTTTGCAGAAGCTGGGCAGAGCAGTAGAGGACAGGGGGACCTGGAGATGTCTCATCCATAAGGTCGCCATGGCTCGAGATCGATGCGAAGGCAGTTAACAACAACAAAGTGGCTTGTGAGGCAAGCTTATCTACTCTCCCTTTTCTCTCTGTTTTGCTGTTCATGCATGCCCAGTAAGGGATTCTGAAGGCAAATGCCATTTACCTTGCTTATTCTAGCCAGGCACACAAAATTACAGTAGCATCAGCTAGAACAAGAAACCATTTTCTATAATCTCAACCTTTATTGAATTGCTGCAACCTGTTCCTGAAGGTCTGGGTTTCTCCAGTCCACCATTGATGCTGCTAAAAAAGAAACCTTCCAGCTAGCTAGAGGACAAGGAAGAAAAGGGGGTGGGTAGACATAAAAATATTTTGTAAAATGAGTGTTACTTTCAGGCTTTGTTATACGCTATGCCTGTATCCTTGTGCCTTGTGACAGGCCCTCCACTGTCACAAAACCTCTGGGTGGATGCAATGCAGGGAAGTTGCTTCTCGCTAATCCAATCCATGCAATCCAGACCAAAGTGTCACAAAAGGTTATGGCCAAAGTCCTGCACAGTTGGCTCTGACTGTAGTGCCACAAATCCCTCTCTCTATCCCCACAGAACAGTTTTACTTAAAACATACTGTAACCAGTAGGGCTTGAGCCCATTAATTTTCTACTCAGGATCATGTCCTAGAACCTCGCTAGTAGTCAGTCTAAGACCGCCACAATCCCAGACCACTGGCTATGTGGGCAAAGGCGTATGGGAGTTGCAATCCAAAACCTCTGGAAGGCACATGAGCTGAGAAACTTGTGCTCCTCCAGAGCGACAATCCCCACTGTTTCTGATTCTTGGCCATACTGGCTGGGGCTGATGGGAGTTGCAGTCCAACAACACCCAGTTTCATCATTTGCACTATAAAAGAACTTCATTTTAAGAGAGGGCTGCTCTGTGGGGGAAGAGAAATGGTTTTGTGGAATCACAATAAGAGTCAAAGAAAGACAGATCTTTACCATAAGATGTCAAACCCCAAAGAAACTTTCTCTTTTCTCTCTTTTTATACTATAACACAGTTAAAACAGCAACATGTTATTAGAAAGAGCATGTCTGAAGGCAAAATATAAATGTAAAAAATACATAAAATACTTATAAAACAGCAAGATTATTTCAGACATCAAAATGTCACAACTGTCTGCGGTTGTGGGGGAGAGTGCCAGTAATGGACATCAGCACATCTGGAAGGCCAAACGTTCTCCACTACTATTTTAAAACGCAGTCTCCATTTTCATGGCCTTGTTCACTACCACAATGGCTGCATTTGGCTGGATATGCCAAGCAAAATCTATTGCAATTGAGACCCTTAGGTAAAAAAATATTTTAAATGCATATGCCTTCACCTGAGTGTTCAGGGGTGCACAGACTGAGTTTGGGATGAGTGAAAAACTGAATGTGGCTAAAATGGCTCAAATCATATTGTTAACTGCTGTCAAGCTGACTTCAATGCATGATGACCCTATGAATGAGAGACCTCCAAGGCCCCCTATCCGCTACTTCTCTGTTTAGGTCTTGCAGATTCAGGCCCATCACCTCCCTGACTAAACTATCCATCTGGTGTGCAGTCTTCCTCTTTCTATTACCCCTCTACCTTTCCTAGCATTACTGTTTGTTCTAGGGAGTCATGTCTTCTCATGATACATCCAAATTACAATAGTGTCGGTTTAGTCATCTTGGCTATTAGGGAGAGTTCAGGCTTGATTTGCTCGAGTACCCATTTATTTGTCTTTATAGCAGTCCAGGGTCTACACAGAACTCTTCTCCAGCATCACATCTCAAATGGGTTTATTTTCTTCCCATCCGCTTTCTTCACTGTCCAGCTTTCACAACCACACATAGAAATTGGAACTACTGACGTCACTAATAAGCCTCACTTTAGTATTCAATAATATATATTTGCAGTTCAAGATTTTGTCTAGTTCCTTTATAGCTGCCCTTCCACTCTGATCACATTCAGGTGCTATCCTTTTTTCACTCTGTAATACAGTGTTCCCACATACACACCTAAAAATAAAGGCAAGAGCTAGTACTGCAGATGGTACTGATCCTCACAAAGTTGCCTGTAACTCTTTCTGAAAATTAAGCATTCCCCTCAACCCAGGGATAAAGGAATTATTTCTTTTACACACAAGAGTTAAATATGCTATAAAACACAGCTCTTCCCTCTCTCTATGTCTTCGCTCTCACACACACTCACACTCTCTCACACAAACACACCATTTGAAATGTTTCCTCCTTCCCTGCAGCATTTCCCAGCTGCTTTCTCCACATTCAGCTCAGTGACTGACAAGGCAAACTTTCCTGTTCTTTTAAAAGAGAGAGAGAGAGAGAGAGAGAGGCAGTATTTGGGCAGATTACTTCTCACTAGTGGGGAAAATAGTATTTAAACTATTTCAAATTGGGGGGGGGGAACCAGACCCTATCCCAAAAAATCTAGTTTGGGTCTTTCTGGTGGCCTACTACAGCTGTTGTAAGCATGCTCCCTCCCCATGAATTCTCTTGCGAAGTCTGTCCTGTTGGCAAGGGGCATTCATGAAGGCTCCAAATATGGGGGAAATGTCCTCCACGCCCCATGGAGTGCATTAGGGGCTATCTATCTATCTATCTATCGCTATACACACACATACACATACATACACACGAGCCTGGTGAGCCCTGGGGACCAAAAAAACACTCATCTGGGCCACATGCAGCTTATAGACTACACTTCACCCACTCTTGCTTTATACTAATGACTGAAAAAATCAAAGATGAAGTGTATTATAGCATTAAAGTGCTCTTTTATTTTGATTTCACCTGCCAGTTTCCCTCTCTGATCTTGAAATAAAGCCTTCCGTAATCACATGTAGACAAATATTATTTTTGTTTAACTAACCTTCTAAATCAGGGGTAGGCAAATGTATAACCTCCACAACTTGGACTTCAGCTCCCATAAACCCCAGACAGCATGGCCAAAGATCAG